TTCAGTTGTTTAAGGGACCGGGAGGGGAGTAGAATTCCCCGACCCCCACTCCGTTAACCAGTAATATTCTTTCCTCGACCTCAAAGAACACCGCCTGCTTTGTAGATGGTTAGTTCAACCCTAGACCGGACCAAAACATGCGATACGCACCGTATCCTACTGCTCCTTACATAGCGGTGCAATGCTGGTCATCTTGGTTGGTGGCAAAACGTTCACAAGCGAATTTCTCAGCACAGTAAACAACGCAACGGGAGCGGCCAGCGTCGTTTCTGGGAGTATGGCATTATTGGTTGTACATCGGTCTTGACATCTTCAATAAACTGCGCCGGTTTTGAATCTAGTATAAAATCATACGGAGGTTGGTTACAGCTAAACAGAACTCGTCGATGTGACATGGATCATACTACTCGATACTCAAATTGGTCAACGTACTTGCTCCATCACCATCTCGGTCAAACTCCTCAATCATGGCTCGAAGTTCCTGATCCGTGAGATTTTCTCCAAGTTCCCTGGAACGAAAGGATGAGAAACCACAAGGGGACAGCAGTAAGAGACAGCAAAACATTTGCAGAAGAGTCTGCAACAACGGACCATACTATTGAAAATACGGCGAAAGAAAAGATATTGATTGGCTTGAGCATGAACCACTGGGGTAGTGAACCTGGCTGACCATCCTTAGGGCCGACACTGTTTGTCTTCGCGTGTAAGCAAACGAATAAAAAACAACGCGGAACCAAAGAAAAAACCCGCTAGCAAAGATAAAATCTATACTTCACATAAGAGGTACTATGAAAACAAAGCGGCATCCAGTCTGTACAACTATTTTTCGAGAGAGCTAATCTACGAAAACGACCGCGAGTTCCGCGATTCTCTGGCCTGAGCAAACCGACAGTATTTTGGCTCGCATGTTTCTTCCTGTGTAGAGAAAGTACCACAACACGAACTAGTTGATTCGATAAAGTCCAGGGGTTTGACAGGGGCCATCATATTCATTCAGCTACTCTGATCACTGAGCTCGAGATATTGGTCAATGAGTCAGCTTACTGACCGGAAACTCCGTGGTTCGAATTCCGCGTTTCGACTGCTCCTGTCTGGTATCCCAGCCCTCGAGCCCCTCTCAGGTGGCATGGCGGCTAGGCGCCGAAAAGGAGAGTCCCTTTAGGGAATCAGCAATAAATGTTTCTTCTAGGAGTCGAGAAGAAACCAAATGAAGACAAATGTATATTCCAGACATGACACACCGAAAGGGTGTCACGGCTGAACGACTGACTGATCACTGTCCTGCTCTGTGAACATGAAGCGCAACAGCCAATTAATTAAAAGTTTTCATTTGTGTGTAGGAGCAAGCTGGTCCTGACAAAACGGCACTTTATTTTGACTGGGCTGATCGACTGACGTGTCCAGTTCACCATGACACATTTTATGAGCGTCACAAACTCGATGCTCATGAGATGATACGAAATCCTTATATCTCTTAGCATCAATTCTCCAGATACGGGATTCAGACACAAAAGTAAACAATGAATCGTAGACGGGGACGTCGGACCAGCAACCGTTCTGAAGAGCTTGCAGACGGTAACTATTTGTGGCCTGGAATGCATGCATTCAAGGCGGATAGCTAGGAGTGGGAACATTCACAAATCTGGCTCAGGTATTTGTATCCCCTCCAGTTGAGTTACTATCCCTCCCCTCGTGCACTTCCCGGGACTCGTTGGGACTACTGTCCCAGCCTCGAGTTACTAAATCACGCCTCTGAAGGCGATGGAATCCCACAGAACGTATTGAACTACTTCAGGTGGCACGCAGCATTCTGATGCTTCTCCCAACTTTCCCCGAAGAAATCTTTTTGATGTTCGTCAATTTGCCCACCACCGGCCACTCAACAAAGCCATGTTATCTCACCTAATCGTTCCACCTACCGTAGTTCTGGAGTCCTTTGATTAACTCATTTCTACTTCATTACACACTAATTTTGCTTCCGGTCTGATCGTTTGAAGTGTACAACATTGAAAATCTTTCGTTTTTCTCCATCCCGAAGTGATGCGCCCACCATTTTTCTGAGTTGGTGTGCTGAAAGTTCCCCTCAAACTGCAAAAAAATTGTCGGTTGACTTGGTTACGCTGACTGCCCTATTCAGGAATAGCGGTGAATTGAATTAGGATTAGAAGAGGACCTTAAACCGTGTGTTGTCAACAGTAATAAGGACGAAACATGCACACCTGTTTTGTTACTCTATTTTAGAGACATGATTAATTATTGGGATGTCGCCACGAGCTATTGCGTGACATACGCCCTCAAAAAGGTGGCCGTCCCCCCATTAAGAAGCTTTAGCGCTTCGTTTGGCAAACTAGAAAAAGTCACGATTGTTGTGGAAGACACGAGAACTTCAAAGGCCGACAAAACGGTTTATTATCGCCATTGTTCTGCTGAAATCGAATCAGAGCATGGGTACTTTCAACTTGAACTCCTATTTTAGAGACATGATTAATTACTGGGATGTCGCCACGAGCTATTGCGTGACATACGCCCTCAAAAAGGTGGCCGTCCCCCCATTAAGAAGCTTTAGCGCTTCGTTTGGCAAACTAGAAAAAGTCACGATTGTTGTGGAAGACACGAGAACTTCAAAGGCCGACAAAACGGTTTATTATCGCCATTGTTCTGCTGAAATCGAATCAGAGCGTGGGTACTTTCAACCTGAACTCCATTTATACTCATATTCAGAGATAAAAAAGCCGAAGAAAAACGCACTGTTTAGGCGTACAGTAGCTGTCAAAAGTTTTTGCAACCCGGTGGCGGCGTGTTCTATCCGTGCCATTCTCACAAAAGCTAGTTAGTAGGACTGACTAAGGCAGGTGGTAAAAAGGAGCGGAACCCACACAGAAACAACACTCAAATTACGCTCCAGAGAGTTCAGATAAATACCAACTAGGAGTACTCCACATAAAAGACGCTTTATTCTCAAAAGTCCAATCGTTGGAGTCATCATCAACATCGACGGCACATCAGTGCTTAACACGGATGTTCCACTGTCGTACAACCATAATTTATTTGAAACGCTTACTGTGAAAAAAAAACAATAGAAAAGGGTGTGGGAAAGGGACCTAGTGATAGCCTAATACAATTATTCCGATGTGCCTACACCCACAGAAATTCATTCAGGCAATCCGGATAGGAACTGATGACAAGAACACCGACTACCATCCACATCTTGCGGCGTCTCCAAACGGGCGCACTGAAAGAAGGCGAGTCGCGCCGACAGCACCAAAACTTTCCGTGATATCTTTCACGCCGCTCTGCCAGGTCAAAAGTCAACCACTACTCTGCTTGTACCCCTACGAATTGAGCACGGAAAAAGGTATTCTCTTGGGTAAACAACCATTCGGCATGTGCAATACATGACCCGATCACCACAGCTTTTGATGCTGGACAACAGCCAAACTGGTTACAGCTGGAAGGTTGATCGGGCGGGAGGCCTTTTTCCGACCGTATGGGCAAATATTGACTTGCTATCTTTATCGTTATTATCAGACTCTTCGTGTTCACGCAGTGAAACAGCAACGACTTGCTATCTTTATCGTTATTATCAGACTTTTCGTGTTCACGCAGTGAAACAGCAATATTTTGGTCCTTTACTGCACAACAGACATCCCTTGTAGTGACTACACACGGGGAAATCACTACCGTCATCGTGGGAGTTGAGACGACTCCGCCAGAAAGCCACATCTCCACCGATTTGGTTTTGACGGAAAACTCACCTGAAGCCAAACTGAAGCTCTCTTTCATGACGTTTTTAAGTAAGCTGTTTTGGTCTCAACCTTCAAAATACGCATAAATTTGGAGCCAATCAAACGGCGTTAAGAGAGGGTGCATTCCTACGCGACGCTTGTCACGTCAGTACACATGAGTGAACTAGCATACACACACGACCAAATCAAAGCATGTGAGTCCACACTCTACAGAGACCATTCGCACAAAGATGACCCAAATGTGGCTCTGATTGGAAGATTTCAGCACTGCCGTGGACCAGTTAGAATTTCCCATCAACACGTCCAAAGAATTCGGAGAATATATGGACGGTTTTTAGCCGTTAATTGTTGGAAAACGCAGTGGGAGAAAGCTGAAAACAGATGCAAATTCAAACTAGGGACCAAATGTCCCGACAAAGTACGGAAGAGGGACGTTCCCGCAACAACCAGAGATTGTACAACGACCAACGACCAATCCTGAGGGCTCACTATTGAGTTGACTGGACTAAATACGGAGCGGTTTCATAAATGAACCCAATCACGTCACTTCAGACTACACTATCCGAGACAGATAAAAGTGGGATGTCTGACTACAGTTAGACGGAAAGACGCTCAACACACAGTAGCAACGCCAAACTCGTTATATACCTAACAAATGCATGACGTTTTGTCAAGCCATAATCAGTGGAAACGTGGACAGTGCTTCACCGCTGCGCGCGTTTGGACTACAAAGGGGAGCGCTCAACCCATTAGACCACCATGGCATGGCGGCTGGGTGGTGAGCCCCCAGCAAAGGCGAAACGCAATCAGTGAGAATTCTCGGGATCACGATGGGATGAATGTCCACTTTGACACTGGGAACGGTGACTAGATAGAATATTTGTTGTGGCAGATTAGATCCAGTGATCCGGTTATGGTACCGGACAGACGTCAAAAAACATCTGGGGTCTATGGTCGAGACATAGTTACGTTGCTTAAGCCTAGGTAGGAGCAGCATAGAATGAAACTTTGGACAAGAGCTCGTGGTCTGACCCTGAACTTATCGAAGGGGAGAAATATTCTCCATTGTGACGAAATGATCGATAGAACAATACCGCTTTTCTCAGCAGTTCCTCCAATCCTGAACCCCGTAGTTAAGACTGAAAAGTTTTAGATCCTCACCTAATTGAAGCTCGGTTTATCTCTACTGCGTCCGTCAGTGAAACACAGCCTTGCCATTCCACAGAGCAGTCCATAAAGCACGATGGTAGCGACTGTGTCAGCTCCACGTTGAGGACGTCAATCGAATTCGTTCTTACTACAGAGCTGGTCGTGACTGAGAGCAAAGAATA